TGTGGATGATCAGGGACAGGCTCATCGTGTTTCGGCTCAAGTTTATGCTCTGGTGATGCAGGCTTAGGTGACGGACTTTCGCCTTTAGGTGAAGGTAAAGGAACGTCATCGTGAGCAGGTGCAGGACTTTCCGGTTTTAAGACCGGAGGTTTGCTGTCTCCTGATTCATCATGAGGTTCATGCGCATCATCTGGTTTGGGCTCGTCATGCTTCGGCTCAGGCTCCTGAGATGGGATGGGTTCTTTTTCTTTCGGCGGCGGTGATGATGCCCGTTCTACTTCTGGAGATGGCGAAAGTACCGGAGCTGTAGGTGGGGGATGTTCCGGAGACTTATCCTTCTCCTCTAATGGATGTTCAGGAGCTTCGCCTTTGATGTTCTCACGATCTATTTCATCATTAGGACCACGCATAGGTGGAGATGGCTTTTCATGATCTCCAGTGTCCATTTTGGGACCTTGACCTTCGCTAAATGACTTCTGGTCGGGACCGGAAGGAGATGAGGGAGCATCGGTTTTCTTCCCTCGACCATCGTCGGTCGACACCAACACGTTCTACAACACAACAATTACAACTGTAGTCAGTCGACAGATTCTAGGAACGTATGGTGGATCATAACTTTTTTTGAGCAAGTTCAGTTCCTGACGATATGTTTCCTGAACTCTTCATTGGAAACTAGAAATGCAACCTTTTTCAAGCAACCGAACTGAAGCCCTCTCTAATCTCAAACAGGAAAAGAATAAATGGTACTGCTCCACATCCACATCTTCAGATCCAACAGTTTGACTTTCACTTAAATTTCCTAAAAGTTCTTTGTTTCGCTGATTGCAGAAGTCCCTATTATTCTACATTATAAGATATTCGTGAGCACGGTAGGACTACGGTAAGTGCTGAACAAATGTGTGCATAATAGCTTCTGCAGGTTCGCATTTTACGTTTAGTGCAGTTTTCGTAGAATCGCAGAAGAAGGACGTTATGTATAGTAGACGTAGAGTTTCAGTAGTACAGTAGCTTTCTCCCAATGACTTTTTTATTAAACTCATCTCATTGGCTAACAATGCACATTGGGAGCATTGCATGACCTGGTATGCTTAGAAGATATTCAGATTTATCCTCGACTGCAAACCAACGCCTTCTCTTCTGGTAAATCAAAAGAACAGTACATTTACGCTTTCCTATTTAGAAAAGTAGAAAACCTAGTATGGGGCGAATTTTGCGATAAGCGAGTCAAATAATCTAAT